TAATTAAAAACAACGTTTTATATTTACACAATAAAACTTTTATTGAAGCCGTACAGCTTCCACTTTTAAATATCTACAAGTATATGTTTCGACGTGATCTACGTGTAAATCATTGTGAATTATAGCGTGTATTTAAGTTAAAGTGACTGTGGAAATTAAGTGTATTGCAAAGTTTAATTGAGAAAGAATAAACTAGTTTTATTTAAGAAAGGACTTGTTTCGGCTGAAGTTTCTCGGAAAGAATTTCTACGGAAAATTAACAAACGAGAACAAAGATGTAACAGCTGCTTAAATTTTCATTAGTAAAATCTGAAGAAGAAGTAGAATTAAATAACCCAGCCATCCCAGAATCATCAGATATTATTCTTCCTATATCGTCCCTCAAAGGCCCTACTCCCATCCTAACATTTTGCTTACCCTTGATGTATTTGAAAAAACTTTATTATTTATTTACGTTTTCAGTCAACTTTTCTCATATACTTTCTCATCTCCTAATTTCTCGTTAACCAAGTCTTTTGATAATCTACAATCCTTCAAATCCCCCATCATTGCAGTCAGTTTAAACTTCTTATAATGCTTTTCTCTGATTTTATACTTTATATCTGTTATGAGCCAATCTGGTTGGTACTTGCAGCCACCCTTTTTTATCTGTAAGTGACATGCCTATCTTGAACATTTAAGTGTTTCTTTTTTCACATTTAATCAGTATCTCCAACTAATTATCCATATCTTATCTCCATATGCAGTAAAACATTCAAATCTAATTGACAAATGATTATTTGCAGTTGGATGTTCCCTACTCTATCAACCATATCTTTATTAAAAGTTAACAATAAATCTAAAATAGTATTGTTCCTAGAGGCTTCCCTAACCAACTGATGAGGAAAACTATCATGAACAGTTACTAAAAACCTGTCTCCCTTATCTACTGTTTCCCAATCAATTAAAATCTCCAATAATTATAACCTCATTTTTTACCTCCCTGAAGAATTACTAATAACTTTCACCAGTTTCATATGGTGGTCTGTAACAAATTCCAACTAAAGTTAAAAGCCCCCTCCCTTTATAACCATTAACACTACCAGAAGCCCAAACAGATTCAACTTCATTGCTATTAGCTTTGATATCCTCGTAATTACTAATTATTAACTACTATAAAATGTTCAATCTCTATACCTACCATCCTGCATAAGAAAATATTCCTGAATAGAAAGCTAAGGCAATATATCCTGGTTCAGTGGTGGTCCCTTCAAAAGCATTTTGAAAATTCTGGATATTTCCTGTACAATATGAATAATCATAAGTTAAGAGATTATCAAACAAATCCATCTATTGTACTGAACAAGTTCTTGGATGAATTAAAAGCGTTTCTTAATACAATTCAATCTATTTTCAAAATCAGAAATTATTTTGTTTCTACATCAAAATTGTGTTCCTATGTTTGATACTTAATATTGAAACATTTAAACAGAAACTAATAAAGGGATAACTAAGCTTTTATTATATTCTGTATTGCTAGCGCGAATGAACGCCTTTTTTTTCTTCTCAAGTACAAACTTTTAGCTCAAAGTTCCGTCATCTCTTGACCGATTTGAGATATAACTTCAATTTGATGGTAGGCTAGTGAAGATCCTGATGATTAATGAAATCGAATCAGGTATACACAAATATGACTAATTGTTTGTTTGTAATTAAGCACAAACCTACACAATGGGCTATCTGTACTCTGCTCACCACGGGTATCGAAACCCGAATTCTAGCGTTGTAAGTCCCCAGACATACCGCTGTGCCACTGGGGGCATATGGCTAATGAAAACGGAAACAAAGCTCTCGTAGATTAATTTATTCTAATCCTGCCTAAAATAATTTCAAGTACCGCGGCTACTGAGGATTCCCTCTTGTTGATGTTATAAAGTGCTGTTGCTATCACGATTGTCGAAACTACTTTTTAACTTTATAAGCCCTCAAACATACTACTGAGTCGCTGTGTGACTTAGGGCTATTTAGTAACATTAAATTAACTTTCTGCTCTTTCACTATTAAAAACATCCAACAAAAGGCACTAAACAAAAACTAACTCTTACAAAAAATTATTTCTAAAAGAATTACAAATTAAAAATTAGGCTACCCAATTTGAAATGTTCTAATTGGTATTTATTAATTAGTGTATTAGAGAACGCTGCACGAGCTAACCATATTCGTTATGTGTTCAGCTAAAGTAACATGAAGTAGGTAAATGAATATTATCAAAATCTAATTATTAAAATTCTATATGATAGTGTTTTATTTAAAAATCTTTCCAAAAAAGTTTAAAAACACATCTTACAAATTGGAACACTGATTATCAGATCATACGAATATAATAAAAGGCACAAAAAATCTTACCCATGCCAATATGGACTAAACCAGCTATAATAATTACAATAAGAGCGAATATCTTGGCAAAAGTGAACACGTCCTGAACTCTTGCAGCCCATTTAACATTGTAACAGTTCACGAAGAGCAACAAACCTGTATAGAAAAATAAAAGTCTTAACTAACACAAAAACAGATGGTATACGGGAACAATTTTATTGATCTCAACAAATCTGTAGAAGAAAGGGTCTTAACTAAAAGTTAAAACAGAAAGTATCAGGTATAACGCCTAGAAAGTTCTAAAGATATGACGTCAATTTTTTTCTAGCATATTTGAAGGTAGATTATAAACAAGAGATAGTTCTCAAGTCTAAAGAATTATTTTTAGGATAGAGAATTGAATTGGTCAGTTGTTAGATATCATGGTTACTTTGTACAAGTAAGTTTATTTGTTTTACGTTATTTAACGTCATTTGTAACGTAGACCTATACAAATATACAACAGTGTGTAAGTGTTCAAGTCTGAATTACTTTCACCACATAATTTAAAAGAACTCACCAGCGAAAGAAATAGGCTGCAACAGTAAGTTAGAAATGGAACATTATTTTCGTGAAAATAAAATTTTAGATATACTTGAAAGAGATTCGTTTGTTGAACATGAGGTTAAACAGTATTGTTACGTCTCTGGTCGTTTGTTAATTTCCCGTAAAAATTCTTTCCGAGAAACTTCAGTGATACAATGTCCTTTCTTAAGTTAAACTAGTTTATTCTTTCTCAATTCAACTTTGCAATATACTTAATTTCCACAGCCACTTTAACTTAAACACACGCTATAATTCACCACGATTCACGCACGTTACTACGGCGCTTGACTCAATTGTCCGTCTCTATCTCCGCCTGGCAATTCCGAATATTAATTTCGCTTTATCTGGCGCACTTATATACAAGAATAGCAAATATTGGATTATTCGTGGTGTTCCCCGATCTTTCTAGAACTCATTACGTGTTACCAGCGTCACGTGACTTCCGCTGTCGTAACAGTATGATTTGAGCATTCTTTGAGATGTTGAAATCGATAAGACTAGTTCAAGAGGAATCAGACAGAAAATGAAATGAAAATCAAAAAGTTTCAGAAAATTCAAAGAGAATCAAGAAGAAAGAGATAGAACGATAAAAGAAGGCAAAAACCAATTTATGGATAATTGAAAGATGATCAAGAAGAACATGACAGGAATTCAACAGAAGAGTTAAGAGAAAGAAAAGTAAATCAGTCGGAAGTCTACAGGGCTAGGTTCAGGACGAGAGTCCGTGCTAAAGGGAAGAGCCTGCAAGAGCTGGCACAGGACTTGGAAAGCATGGCAAACAAGGCCTACCCAACTGCAACAACCGATCTCCTCAAGTTGTTGCTGAGGGATCAGTTCGTAGATGCCTTGGACAGTCCCCAACTTAAGATACAAGTGAAGCAAGCACACCCCTCTACCATGCAGGATGTAATGGCCAGAGCTCTCGAATTTGAATCCTACGTTAAGTCCAGCACAGAGGTACCGAGGTTAGTACAGTCATCTGGATTCAAGGCCAGAAAAGGTCAGCTTTCAGAGAGGTTTGAGGGATTTTGCTGGTATTGTAACAAACCTGGGCACAGGAGAGCTCAATGCTGGAAACTTCAACACAGGGGAGGTGCCACAGCTGGAAAGGCTGGTATCCAGAAAGGAACTGTGGAAAGCACGGAAATTTGAGGAGCCAGTGTAGGAGGAATATTACCAACAAGTCGGCCTCAAGGAGACCAGTAGTGGTTGGTGTTGAGCGACGCCCACCAACACCCATCATGAAAGTCCCAACAGCTAGG